CAGGCCAAATTCAGTTTGGTTTAACACGCTGCTTGCTCAGACTGACAAAGGGCACCATCGGGACCAGGTGGCCAATGTGTTCTTTCAATTCAGGCAGCAGAATCCTACATAAAAATGTCGGGGAGAGGCCACCCAGCCCAGACATAAACCCTCAGACATCTTTATGAAGGAACAGATGGAAATATAAGAGAAATGGTTGTACTGCAGTCTGGAAACGACAATGACACAGGTTTTATGGCTTTCACTAGTTTAGAAGAACCACTCTCTCCTGGGCAAAGCAGCTGTGCAAAGGTCCCTGGCATGGCCGTGCCCCTCTAGCTATGGGGACAGGGACACTCTTCTGCACTGTTCAAGCTTTGCATTCACGGAACTTGTGAGCCGTGAACTGCACTGGCCATTCCAAGTGCATTTTCCACGCCTCGTGTTGCTGAGCTGGGGTCGTGGCCGTGACCAGCCGGCAAAAGCAGCTGCCCACGTGGGCCGTGCAGCCGGCCATGATGGAAAGTTCCCCCTCCTCCCTGGATTAGGGCCCAGTGACCCCGTGACTCCCACCACTGAGCAGGCGCGGGGACCCCGAGGCCGGGGAACCACGTTATCCCCCCCCCCCCAGCCCAGCTTGCAGCTCTGGCCACGTCCTGCCCGAGAGGGTTCGGCCTGGGGCTTAACCTGCCATGAGGCGTTGACCTTCACGTCACGCTGGGAGCCAGGTATTAATAAAACAGGCTTTTCAGAAAAGGATTTTACTTCCCCATTGGGTAGGTAAGGAAACCGAACACCGGAGAAGCAGGGGACCCTTCCCAAGTTGCAGAGCAGTTGGGGATAACCCCCAGGTGCGGCTGTCACCTGGACACCATGCCCCGGCTTCCCCAGGTTGCCTAATTTGGTGCGGGGGGGACCTCAGACCTCAGTGTTAGGAGGAGTCAGCCCAGGGCTCTGGGCTGGGGACGTGGGGCTGTGTTTCGTCTACTCCCTGGCCAGGTGTTGGTGGCAGGTGTCCGGCGAGGCATTGCTGGGGCTCCCTGGGGTGATAGCCCGTGTCGGTGGGATTGCTCAGCAGCCTGCACCCGCCCAGGGTTCTCCAGCTCTGCGGGGTCCCCACAGGCTCCCCCTGTCATCGTCATGGCCCTGGGCTCGGTGGGGAGGGCCACATCGGTGCCTCCCTGAGGGCCTCTGAACACCGGAGCCCATGTCACTCCTGTCTCCACCCGAGCCCGACCGCTTCCTGAGCGCCTGCCCCGTCACGCAACGGCTCCTGACGTCACTCTCAGGTGTGGCGTCTTCCCTCCTGTCCACGCTGTCGTCTGACAACGGTGGGAAGTGAGGGCGAGGAACACCCACAGGGCGGAATTCAGGGGTCTCTGCATGGGGTAACGTATTTGTCTAGTCCTCCAGGTGAGAGTGGGTGCTCACCTGCTGCCTTGTTAGTTCATGGATTTAATTGAACACCTACTATGTGCTGGGCCCTGAGCCAGCTGCTAGATGGGCAGACAAAGTCCCTGCCCCCGCAGAGCTCACACTCCACTAGGGGACAGTGAGGACAAGGACAGAGGGAAATAGGGTAACGGGTGTGATTGCTCCGTGAATACCCCAATGCAGGCTGAGGGTGGGTGTGCCCTGTTGGGGTACATGTTCAGGGACTCTGCCCTCCCGGAACCCTCCGGACCCCCCTGCAGGCAAGGCCCAGGGTTCCCTCTGGGTGTCAGCAGCAGAAACGGCCACCCTCGCACTGCCGGTGGCCCTGTACCTCTGCCCTGGAGCGATGGGGCCACCTGGACCTGTGCCCTTGTCACTGTCCCTGGGGTCATTCCCGGGGAACCTTGCAGGCTCTAAGGCTCTGAAGAGTGGCTCTGGGGGCGAGTGCCTGGCGGTGGTCCCTCCCCAGACTCTCCTCCTGCGTCCCTGCGCACCTGCTGAGTCTGAGTGTTCAGCGCTGGCTTCCCTGGCTCCCAGTGCCACACTGAGCCGTCTCCAGTCCCTTAGCTCATTTGCACTGAGCCCTGTGCCATGGGATCTGCTTAGCTGTCCCTCCCGCTCTGCCACACATGATCCTGCTGGCTCCGTGGGAGGAGCCCTCTGCCACCCCTGCAACAGCGGCAGACCTACATCCCCGAAAGTAAACAGAAAGTAGCCATTCCTTTAATATCAGTGGTTTCTTTCTTGAACACTGTAATATTTCTCAAACGAGGGAGGAATAGATAGATCACTTCTGGCGAGATTAGTTTAAGAGACGATGATTATGTTAATATGTAATTGATTTTTATGACCTGTCCTTACTCTCATTATGTATTCCCTGAATATACATAATTTTCTGTGCCTTCATTTATCATTTCACAAAAAAAAAAACCATTGCTGCTCTCTCCCATGATCGTGAAAGGGAAAAGATGAATCAGGCCTTTCAGAAACTGCAGGCTGCAGCAACATCTTAAATCTGAAAGAGAAACCTCCCATCCTAGTGTGAATCAGGGTGAATTTTTCCCCTTTGCGATCGCTATACAGTCGATGCAAAGATCCCTCTGGGAGTGAAAGAATCCGGAGCCGCAAACCATCTTGCGAAAAATGACAATTCCTAGTGCCGTGGTTGCTACCTAACTGCAGGTGTTATTGGCACTAAAGGGTCTGTGGCTATTAGCACGAGCAGTGGGGCCATTCGCATTTCAGGTTTGCTCTACACTTACCCCCTAGGTCCAGGCTCGTGTGTGATAATGTTAATTAAGCATTTGTAAAGCATCCACTTGAGCTGCAGGCAACTCCTACCCCTCCCAGTTCTCCTATGCCTTGGTATGCCCTGAGGAAGGGCTCCTGCAAGGAGACCAGAGCGTGGATGGGGACCGAGGGCATGAGGAAGCAGCTCCTTTTGTCTCTGTATCCTCTGGGCTCTCAGGGATTGAAAAGGACGCCCCCCCCCCAAGTACTCCCTGAACACTGGTGCCTCCCAAATCTCTGCTTGTGAATGCACCTGCAGCAAATCCCAGATGGAAGAAAACAATTCTTTGATTTAGGTCACGGCCCCATCAGCTCAACAAGGCTTGAGAAGGCAAAGCCAGCGTCCCCTCCTCCTCGGTGACGGTGTGATTGGAGGGCTCGGGTAGAACCTGCTTAGTCGCTAGGAAAAGTGAGAGGAGTTTGCTTAAGGATCTGCAGAGGACATGTCACACAGCGAGGTGCATCTGGAATAAGTGCTGATTCCCACCTATCTAACCATCACTCCATCTATCTACTTATGTATCTATCTGTCACCTACCTATCAATCATCTAAGGCAGGTCAGAGGGAGGGGGGGAGGAGGGGAGTGATGAGTGAGCAAGCAGAGAGAACAGCTGCCTCACTGCAAGTAACCCCAGCGTCTTCCACTCCCTGCGCTGGAGCCGGAGCCCGAGCGCTACTGTGCAAGGTCACTGGGAGAGGCGGCGGATGGACCCTGTCTAGGTTGGACGATGAACTCAGGCTGCCTGGTGACAGGCGGGAAGAGAGCCCACTCCCTGCTCCCTGGCTAGGGCTTTTTCTCCTGACTCCACTGCCCCCGATTCTCCTGTCCCCCAGCTGGATGAGCCCCTGGCGTGGCCGGCCTCCTCTGCACCAGGTGCAAGCCCAGGGTGGCAGTGAGGTCCTTGGCCTGGGTCCCAGGAGAGGCGGGGCCTGTCCCCAGTTCTGGCCTGAGCTGGCTCCAGGGGCTTATTTGTCACTTCACCTGCAGACAGGGAGTTGGAGCTCAACTCCGGCTGCACCTGAGGGCCTTTGTAAGAAGCGTAGCTGTCTGGCCTCCCCCACTCCCCGCCCCCCAGGAAGGCCGATGTCCCTAACTCGATCTCACTGTCAGGAACACCCTGCCCACTGGGGCTGGCACGGAGGGGCCTGAGTCTGGGGTGGGGCCCCAGTGACTGCATTTAAAAAGGAAAGAAAAGGAAAATAGATGCCTTTGATGATTCTGATGTTCGGTCTTCAATGGACTGGAGAATTTTAAAAGCTTTTTCTCTCTCTTTTTTTTTTTGAGACAGAGTCTCACTCTCTTGCCTGGGCTAGAGTGACGTGATGTCAGCCTAGCTCACAGCAATCTCAAACTCCTGGGCTCAAACAATCCTCCTGCCTCAGCCTCCCGGGTAGCTGGGACTACAGGGATGTGCCACCATGCCCGGCTGATTTTTTTTTTCCCTCTTTTTAGTTGTTTGGCTAATTTCTTTCTATTTATAGTAGAGACATGGTCTCACTCTTGCTCAGGCTGGTCTCGAACTCCTGAGCTCAATCGATCCTCCTGACTCAGCCTCTCAGAGTGCTAGGATTACAGGCACGAGCCACCACGCCCAGCCCTTTCCTTTTTATGACGGGAGCATTTTATTCATGTATTTGTTTTTACTACTTGGCTGCACACTGACCAGTGCTTAGTGAGGTACACAGCACAAAGGGACGACCAGCCCCAGCTGTTACTTCTCTCTGGCTGACACACTGTCTTCAATGATCATTCCAGTGTGAATTAGTTAAATTCTTTTGGGGCAGCAAACAAATTGCTGAGCCTACCCCATAGTGACAAAATGTAAAATCTGTGAAAGTTCAGCCTGACTGTGAGGGTCAGGTGGTGACATTCGGCCTTGTCGATGACAGGAACTGCAGGCCGATCACCATAGGCAAATGTCACAGGTGATAGAAGAACACACAGAAACCCAGCACGTTACTATTTTTTAGCCCTGAGCTGTTGTGGATATCACTGCTGTAGGGTCGATACTTGCAACAACATCTAACTTTTACCTACACGAGATAGCAGGGAAAAGTAACAGCACGGTTAAGTACGCAGACGGTGCCCATTTAGAACAGAAAATCACGTGCAGAAAATATATGGAGTGTCGAGACGGTGTCCTTGAGTTTCGCAGTCGCTGGGTTTCACTCTGCAGCCGTGCGCTTGTCCTGGGGCTGCAGCGAAGCCCCCGGCCGGCTCCCCTTACCCACTGCTCTGCCCGCTTTGTGTTTTCAGCCCGGTGACCACCTTGTGTCTGTGTGTTTCTCGCTGCAGATGGGCAGAAGAAGGTCCAGGAGGAGTTCGACATCGACATGGACGCGCCAGAGACAGAACGCGCCGCGGTGGCCATTCAGTCTCAGTTCAGAAAATTCCAGAAGAAAAAGGCAGGGTCTCAGTCCTAGCGGGAGAGCCCCTTCCTAGCCCTCCAGAAGACACCGAGCTCGACCATCATCTGTCAAGAAATTACGAGAACACAACGCCCTAGAGAGAAGTCACCCTCACACGACACACGCGTGCACGGCAAACCTACAATGCATGTACAGAAACCTGTGATATTTATACCCTGCTAGGAAGGTGTAGACGGGATGAAGTTGTGAGTAGCTTAATCTCTATGTTCCTCTCCATTATCACTCCTCCTGCAACTATTTTCCCCGACGTTGTAATAAAATGGAGTTAAGACGAGTGATTTAAGTGTCTGTCTTGGCCTCTTTCTTTCTGTGAATCTGGGAGGTTGCAGTGTTAGAGGTTGACTGGAAACCCGAAGTCTATTTTCTCCCTAAGCCTTAGAGATGTGATGCGGAGCCTTCTGTTAGGAGCCTTCGTGCTGAGAGAGAGCGATCCATTCTCAGCCGTGCGGGGCTCATTTGGCGAGTGCTGAGTGCCGACTGTGGACGGCAGTGTACTTTCTTCTTATCATGGGAGTAGAACCCTGCATCCCGGGGAGCCGAAGAGTCAGAAGTTTCCCTGGGGAATCATGACTGATCCAGGTGAATGAAGCGGGGGAGGGCCAGGTCTCTGGGTTTGCAGCGCCCCCAGATTTGCTCAGCAGGGCCATTTCCCATCTCCAAAGGGGACCGCCACCTGTCGGGGGCCATCCTGCCGCCTGCCTGAGGTCCCCTGCACCTGTGTAGCCCCAGGGAGGGCGCCCTCCCCAGGCTCCCCCTCTTCTGTGCCCCACACTGTGCTTTGCTGCCTTTTAGGGTTACTTACTGAAGCCTGCAATTCGGAGAAAGCTCTCACCCCATCTCCTCCCCTGCAAACCTCGAGGGGGAATAGCTCTGCACACCCCAAAGTCGTTTTGCAGACAGCGAGGAGAGAAGTCCATCACATGGGGAGGACCACGCCACTGAGTCAGGAGCCAGGCGGGTGGGCGGGGTGTGTGCCTGCCTTGGGGCCGCACGTGGTGGAGGCCCCCAGCCCCTGGGTCACATTGTGGCTTTCGTCTGAGCTCTGCCACGTGAGAACCTGTTGTGGACGCCACATCTCTTTGACATCCCGAGATGCTCCGTGGCAGCACCATGTATATGTCACATTCCTTCCCTTTGCCGGCTCCTTAACACGGGACCAGGTGCAGCGTGAAGACCATGCGAGGAGGAGGAAGGGATGCTGCTGTGTGCACAAGCACACACACACGCCTGGGTGTGCACATGGGAGGTGTGGTGGGAGTGACTGGGGTGGGTGTGACACTGTTCCTTTGGCAGGGCCCCGTTCCTTCCACGATGGCAGAGATCAAGAAAGATCAGCACACTTGGAGATTCGCTGTTATAAAAAAATCCCTCTGAAAATGCACACATCATCTATCATAAGGAAATCCCTCCTGCCGGGTGATCCTCTGCAGCTGTCAGGCACAGGAAAACATCGGGGTCCCTCTGCGGGGCCCTCCGATTTCCCTCTCCGATTTCCAATCCGCGGAGAGCTAAGTAGGATCGCCCTGGCCCCGACAGCCAGACAGGCCTCCCAGAAGCTCCCGGTGCTGTGGTCCCTGCTGAAATGGGGACCACAGGTTAAAGGGACACCCCGGGAAAATCTTGCTGAGACACTGGGGATACAAATACCATGAAAATCAGATGGGCTGTGGCGTAGCCTTCTTTGGAGTTTCCCGAAGCTACTAAAGCAAGCCAGGAACAAAATGAACACTTACATAGTTCATTTTAATTCCTCCACACCTTGTCCTCCAAGCACCTCCATTGTCCCCTTGTCCTCTAATTCACATAAAGCAAGTTAGGGGGCTCTCCCTGCTGGGTGTACCCTTGCTGGGGCTTGCCCTGCCCCGGCCTCTGGGAGCTAACCTGGCTTGTAACAAGAGTGCTCCCTTGCAAAGCAGAGGGTCGAGGGACTGGAAACACTCCTTCAACAGTGACAGTGGCCTGTTGGGGGCAGAAGAATGAGAGTGGGGTGGGGGCTGTGGCATTTGGAGAGGCCCCTCAATGACTGTGATATGCCTCTCTAGTCCCAATCACAGGACAAGGGTGTAACTAGCTCACTTTGAGCCACACGGATGAATTTCATCGTTGACTTCCCAGGTGGACTCATGAGAGTCTAGAACTCAGTTGAAAGCAAGGGGGGATCCCCAGCGTACCCCCTCAGTGTAGGAATCGGGCACGTTGAGCCCATGGCCTCACAGAGCCAGGGGAATGAGGAGTTCTTGCAGCTGCAGGCTTAGAGGGCCATGCGACACAGGTGGCAGCAATGTGGAGCATCACCGATCCAATTTCACTGGACTCACCTTTATTAAACTCCTACTGTGTGCAGACTTGGCGCTGTGGCACAAAGCAGGACAGTCCTCATGGAGTGGCCGGCAGGTGGGGGTGGGGGAGAGACACAGACACACAGAAGCCGGAATGGATGGAGGGGCAGAGTGAGGCGCTGTGGCAGGGCAGGGCCGCGTGGAGGGTCACTCGGGCATCCCCCAGGCACTGCCACCCTCGCCAGGGCACCGAAGGATGAGAGGAGTTCCCGGGTAAGTAAGGGCTGGGGGTGACGACGTGCCTGGACAGGAGCCTCGAGGAGGACACGCTCCGCTTGGCAGTCTCGGAGGCTGGAGTGTCTGCACACTGCCACCTGGGGGTGTGGCTCTGCTCCCTGCACTTGGGGAACCCAGGAGGCAAGGCCCCAAGCTCTCGAGACTCAGAGCTGGATTCCTCTTTGACTATAGGATGGGCAAGTGACCACAGAGAAGTTGCCTTCCTCAAGTAGCCAGTTTCCTTAACTTTGAACTGATAACTAAGTCTACTTGGCAAGGTGGCTGGCAGAACGTTGGAAGTTTGAACTGAAGTCAAATGCATGAGTGCCTGGCTCGTTGCAGCTGTCTGACAAATGGAAGCTGCTGTTATTGACAGACCAGTGCGGTGAAGAGAGTCACTCCTGGCCTTAGGTACCAACACCCTTTTTCCTGACTCCCCCCAAGCCACGGGACTCTGCTTCTCTTGGCTGCAAGGGGTTGGCCCAGGGGAGTGGCCCAACTGGCCCAGGGGTGGGCTCAGCCAGGCAGGGTCTTTCTCTTGTGAGTCTGGGCTCATCGTCGTGGGAACTGAGCCAGAACAGGAGGGAGATGTTGTCTTGGAGTTGAAGTTGATATTGTGACAAGTTGAAGCTGCAAAGCTTTAAAAAAACTTTGCAAGAAGCTGCAACGGCTTGTTTGGGAAGAGCTGGAGGCAGATGCAGGAGAGGTATTGAGACCCAAGATGCACGGGCCTGGGAGAGACGCAGGGGAAGCCAGGGTTGAGTCAGTCATTTGGTTGCAATGAACAGAAACCCACTTACGCTAGCTAAAAACGAGAGAGAATTATTCAGGTCTCACAGATATCCAAGAATAGAGCATCCAAGACACCCAAGAAAAGAATAGAATGCCAGAGGCAGGCAGAATTACATTAGATTTATAAATAAACTGGGGCACAGTGGGGAAGAATTGATGTCTTTATAATATTGTCTTTATAGCATTTTATGATGTTCAGTAAAGTTTTATAGTTGTCTTCATATAGGACTTGCACATTTCTTTTTGTTCTATTTCCAGGTATTTCATAGTTTTTGTTGTCCTTCTGAGTAGAGTCTTTTTCCAAAGTGTTCTCCAGTTGTTTTTGCCGTTATCTAAGAGAACTACTGATTTCTGCATATTTAACTCTGTTAACTATTCATCTTACTGAACTACAGAATACCTGATCATTTCTCAGTAGATATTTTTGGATTTCCAGGTAGACAGTCTTACCATCTGCAAATAATAATTTTGTCTCTTCTTTTCCACTACTTTTAATTTCTTTCTTGTTTTTCCTTGTGTTTTTCTTATAATTCATCCTCGTGTATTGAGGGAGGCTTGGGCATTATTTCAGCTGCAACAGTGACAATGACAGACCGTTTCATGAGGTGGTCATTTGCATAGGTCATCTATTTTGAACCGATTGATTTTAAATACATACGATTATATTTTCTTAAGTTCTGTGGGCCTCTTATTGTACTTTTGAAGGCACAGATTAACATTAATATTAACCTAGATAAATTAGTATAATTGTAAGGGGAGCCTGGGCAGGGGGAAAGAGTTTAGGGTTAGAGCTTATTTAGGATTTGTGTTTAAGGTGAGGGCTCACAGTAATGTCATAGTTAGGAGACTTCACTTCATCCCAACTCTAATCATAGGTGATGGAGGCAGGGTCTCTTGGCCACTCTGTGATGTGCAGTGCCTTGGTCAGCTAGGACTGCTGCAATGAAATAGCATAGGCTGGGTGGCTTAAGCAATAGAATTTTGTTTCTCACGGTTCTGGAGCCCGGGAAGTCCAAGGTCTAGGTGCTGGCAGACTTGGTTCCAGGTGAGGGCTCTCTTCCTGGGGTGCGGATGACCAACCACCTTGCTGCTGTGTCCCCACGTGGCAGAGAGAGTGGGAACTCTGGTGTCTTGTCTTCTTCTTCTTATCAGGGCACTGACCCCATCATGGGGGCCCCACCCTCTTGACTTCATCTAAGCCTAATTACCTCCCAAAGGCGTCCCCTGCTAACACCATCATCGTGGGGGTTCAGGGCTTTACCATATGAATTTTGAAGGGGCACACATTCAGTGCATTACATCCGGTTTACCTCTGTGCTTCATTTTTTATAATTTAATCAGAAAATTTCATCAGCCTAGCTTACAGCAACGTCAAATTCCTGGGCTCAAGCAATCCTCCTGCCTCAGCCTCCTGAGTAGTTGGGACTACAGGTGTGTGCCACCACACCTGGCTATTTTTTTCTGTTTTTAGTTGCCTGGCTAATTTTGTCTATTTTTTTTTTAGTAGAGATGGGATCTTGCTCTTGCTCAGGCTGGTCTCAAACTCCTTACCTCAAACGATGTTCCCTCCTTGGCCTCCCAGAGTGCTAGGATTATAGGTGCGAACCACCGTGCCCAGCCAGGTCCTGTTCTTGATGGGACTTATTACTTTTTTAATGTCACATGCATCACTGTGATTCTTTGATGAACACTTTTCTCCTCCACTCAGCTCCATGAAGTCAGGGGTGCCCGTTTCACTGGAAGTTTGAATGCTGTGTAGGTACTTGCAGTAAGAATGAATGAATAAAAGCATGCCCAAGTGTGCGGTGTGCACTCTGCAGAAATCCAAACCCCGGATGTATTTGCAGGCAGAGGGACATAAAGAAGCCCCCGTGTTTTCATTCAGTAAATAGCCAAGGGAGCCCTTGAGTTGGTCAGAGTTCAATGCTGGCTTGTA